CAGCTTGGTATGCTTGAAAACAGGCTGACCCACCATTTCAGCGGGCAGCCTTTTTTTTTGCCCATTATGGGCATCATGATTGGCATGGCAGAGCTAAAATGTAATTAGAACATATTCAATGTATCTTATTTGTACAGACACATTACTCTGAGTATTATTGCTGTAGAGTTCTTTTATTCACACCAACAATATGGAGCTCCTCGTAAAACGGGACAGAGGAATTGGGGCCCAAAATAGGAACTGTCCCTCCTAAACAGGGAACCTTGGAAGTATGGGAAGATACAGTCCACCACAATACCACTACCCACAAACGTTTAGGAAATACATTGCTTTACAAATAAAAAAACTAAGAAGGAAGCTCATTAGTGCAACTCTCTACACGCCCAAGTAATCCTGTGACGGGTAAGTACTACCATGGCGGTAAGATTTTAGGAACTAACAAACAAATATAGACAGACTAACTTTTTTTTTCATTTATCACTGCTACAAATGTATGGACCAATTAAGAAGTTGCTAATACATTTTATAAATGTTAAATATTTTCAAAAACGAGATCTATTCTACCAAGTTAGCTTTTCTATGCTAAATCTATTTTTCCCCATTATATTTACTATTTTTTTATTTTTGGAAACTCACAAGAATAATATGAAAGGACATTCTGATTTACAGTTGATTTTTTTTGTGATTATTTTTGGCACTGCTACCTCTGTTACCTCTGTTTATTTTTAAAGCATGTACTTAATCTATGTCTTTACTAGCTGTTCATTTAAGACAATGTATAGATAAAATTAGTATCTCATTGACAGAGTTTCTTTAAATTTCTGGCACGGAATAGTTTGTCCACATGAGATGAGTGAATGTGATATATTAATCAATGACAAGCCCAGTTCAGGCCACTTGCCGAGTTAAAGGTATAATGCATGAGGTAAAACAAACACCCTATCATTTGAAAGGTATAAGTCACGTCTGAGGAATCTTCCATTACTTAAGTAACAAACTTCAGTACAAACAATCTCCTTTTATCCACTGGAGATTCCATGTCAGGGACCTGACAGAACTTGCCAGCTGGCTACCTTTCAAACAGGAGCCGGCCTCAAAAACATTAGGCCAGAGGACTACCAAAACACCCAACTGCTGAGGTTTATTTTATCTTTAAAACGATTTTGCATTGATAATGTTAGATCCTTTTTATTTGCTATTGAGGTTAATAAGCTTTTTTTTATAACTGGTGTAGCTGTTGAAAGAAAACAAAATCCATGCCACGTATTTCCTTTTTTTCCATGAGATCTTTTAGAAAATCTCCTTTCTAGAGTTCATTTGAGGTATTAAATCGGCTCTGTCACCTTCTGGGATCTTTGAAGGTTTTGCTGGTGGCTATACGTAAAGGTACTTCTTTCACCTCATGGCCAATACCATGTCCATCCAGTGGGCCCTCTTCAGATCCTGGAGCTTCATCTGTCAGGAGCCCACATCAATGCTGTAGTTTCGCTCATCCATAAGACTACCACAGGGATGTCTATGGAGGATCCCTCGAGACCGCAGGAATCTCCATTGACATTGCCTTTTCCTCACTCAGCTGTCACGAGTGATGACTGGGTGACTTGTCAAAACTTGACCAAGGCATCGCTGCTTTTTGTAGGTTTTGTCAGGCTTTGTCAGTGAAATTCCTGTGACAGAAGCACCACCCAATAAACGTAACTGACATAACTTGACTTTGGGAAACAACTTAATCAGAAATGTATCAATACGTAGATTTTCCCACTGTTTAAATCTCTGGTAGCATCATTAAAAAACGTGCACAAGTTGTACTTGCCAATATCCCATGTTTGGGCTGTTGTCAGTTATCTTTGTCGTCTAGATATCACCAGCGTATTTTCCTGTGTTTGTCCCCATTGCTGGAAATTGTATTTAAGCTTTTCCATGAAAAAAAAAAAGAGTATAACATGCTGTTAACCGTTTAAAGTAAGTAAAGGTAAATGAGGTCTGCAAACAGTTCCACGGGTCATTTGTATGTCACCGAATAATCCATTCCGTCTGCCGGATAAATATTGCTGAGCCGGCTCATGTTTGCAAAGTAAAAAGGAGCAATGCTGCCTCGGTGGTATTTACTTAATTCTCATAAGGAGTCGCTGGAATCTAACACAGGAGTATCAGACCACCAAAAAAGTAAAAGCTGTGTAAAAATACTAGGCACATATTCAATTTAATTAATGCATTCAAGTTTAGGAAAAATATATACAAAGGGAAATTGACTATAAAAACGAGTTGTGCTGCAAATCTACAACAGCTCAGATGTCGTAAATATTAACCACTGGGGTACTATATATGATTGGTCTAGTATTCACCTATTAGCTTGAGGGAAATTTATTGCTTTCATTTATTTATTTTTACTTTTACGATGGTCTTTTTTTTTTTCTTATTCTAACCAGCTCTGTGTCTTTTTTCCTTCGATTTTATTTTTAATCCTAACATTTTTTATTCCGCATACAGTCACAGAGACAGAGACAGAAATACTCATGCACACAAAATCACACAAGCACACAGGCAACGACATATGTACGTGTCTGTTTGATTCATACGTAATAGTAACATGACTATAAAATACATTATTCGTATTCAAATCTGCAAACCTGGAGTCCACAGGCAGCTTCACATGCAGCCTCCGACCCCTACTTGACATTCCAGTATTTCACAGTTCTTAGTACCAAGTTTCCAGGAAGTAGCAAACTTAAGATGAGTATTGTTTTGTTTTTTTAATCTATACATTAGCTGCTGCTCTTACCATCACAATGTATAGATTAAATCAGCTCTGTCACCATCTGGGGTCTTTGCATAATTTGCAAAGACAACCAACAGTTACTTTACAGGTGGCAGGGCGATGGCTGTATTGTGCAGGCGAAGGTGAGTTATACTTTCTGAACCTGTCCCTCACAGCCGCCCCCTGCATGCTCTTTGCGCAGTTCTTTTTAGAGCACATCAGGGTTGTTCTCCTGAGCATTCATTTATGAAGGATTCAACTAAAGCCTTTTCCCTCTCACTAATGACATCTGTGGGAAATGACAAAGCTGGTCAAGTTTTGCCAGGTAGAGGAAAGAACGTCCCTACTTTGTCTAAGGATATCTCTTGATCAAATTCCAACACAGTCAATATGAGTAGTTCATAGAGATATAATCTTTATGAAATACTTATTTTTGCTTTAACCTCATACCTACCTAAAAGTGAAATAGTCGTCGGCGTTATTTGTGAATGACAGATTCATTTTAAAAATATTGCATTCTTTTTTTTCTTTTTTAACTAAAAATGTCTTTACATAAATAATTTTATAACAATTTTCCACACATATTCACGCAGTTCTCATCCAACCTAGCCGTGGTGAATGTACTGGTAATTACCATTTGCAGATATGTCTGGCATTTAGAATGGCGTTTGCTTCACAATGTTATACAACATTTAAATCTACTGATAAATCGGTTTCTTTCTTAGTATTATGACAGCATATAACGAATTGGAATAGTCCACAAAGACCATCTTCATCTTATGCCCAGTTGGATGAACATTCAGGAGGAGGAGAAAGGAAGGGAAAAAAACGGGAACAAAGAAAGATAAATGTCAACATAACAGAAGGTACTGGAACAAAAAAGACTTTATGTGTGCTGCCACTACAGTTTCCCCCTGGAAGAATAAGGAAGGGGGAGCATGACTGCTGCCCAAGATTGGGGGCTGGGTTAAGATTGATACATTTGTGGTTCTGAAGGAAAGGGAGAGGGAGGGGACTTACCAGTCAGCAGGTTCATTGAGGGATCTTGGCTGTTTTGCTCCGGAGTCCGGTACCTGGGAGGAGGAGGATCCGTTCCGGTGAGGCCGGTGGTTGTGTCCAGGTCCAAGATGGCGGCGGAAGCCAGGTTGCCGAAAGGGCAGGAAGATCGCGCTCTCCGCGCTCTTCTCTTCCGGCCGGCTCTGAAGTCGCGTCAGCACGCTCGGTGCGTGACGCGGACGCGGCCGGAAGGATCGTCATCACGCAAGGCGCGTACGTGACGTCACCGCGCAGGAGAGCGCGGACGTCACAGGCCTTGCGTTCCAGCGTGGTTCCGGCAGGAAGTGAGCCGGAAACCACGCGAGAAGAGCCCAGGAGGGCCACCGGAAGCCGGAGTGGCAGCAGCAGCACCCTGGAAGGAAGATTGCGGTCGGGCCAGGAGGCCGGCCGTGAATCACCCCTGGGATCGGGGTCCAGTTCCGGTTCTGATGATGGTGAGACCCAGCATCCTCAGCCAGCCAGCGGTAAGTGTTGCGCTAGCGCTTGGCATGCGCTAGCTGGGTATAGGGTAGATAGTGGGTTTAATGGGGAGGTTCTGGGGTTGCTGAAGGCCGTGTTAGATAGACTCCCGGGGGGGGCCCTTTGTCTGTCCCAGTTTCTCTCCCTGCGCAGGCCCATGCTCAGGATAAAGGTCAGTGTATTCGGTCAGGTAGGGCGCAGTGCTTGCCAGGTTGCGAGCTGTCCCCACTTGGGATGCACGTGGCTTTGGAGGTGAAAGAGAGGATTGTTAAAGGTGAATACGTAGATTTACTGTCCCTGGTCCCTCCGGACCGGGAGTCGGTGGATAGGCCGCGGCGGGGAGATTCGGTGGACGGAGACAGAGGTAAACATCTGCCGCGTACGTTTGGGAACTGGCTGCAAGGGTTCTCCATTTTTGCAAGTGTGATGACGCGGGCCTTCCCGGAGAAGGCACCAGCGTTGTTTGGGTATCTAGACCTCATATGGGGGGCGTACAAGGTTTATGGGGGACAATGTTGGTTTCGGTATGACCAACAATTTCGCCAGAAGATGGCGGTGTGTTCGGGTATGGATTTTGGGGTCCAGGACGGGAGCCTTTGGCTCTTGCTCATGACCCCTAGTCGTCCGTCCCCCTTTCCAGGAGCAGCCGGCGTGCCGTCCAGTGCGCCGGCTGGGCAGCGCAGGGGGGTCTGCTGGCTCTACAATGAGAGTCACTTCAAGTGGTTTGGATCATGCCGTTTCAAGCACGAGTGCTCTCATTGTGGAGGAGCCCACCCTGCGCTGCGCTGTTTCAAGAAGGGCAAGCATGGTGGAAGATCCAATAGGGAGGATCTCCCTAGAGGGGAGGACTCCGGTGAGCGTGCTAAGGATGCGCCCTTGGCTCGACCGGTATCCCAAGCGTAAGGATGCAGGGGTTCTGCTAGAGGGGTTTTCGACAGGGTTTTGGATTCCGTTTGTTCGTTCGGATTCCCCTTCCCTGGCAGATAACCTACGTTCGGTGGTGGGTAAAGAGTCTATCTTAGAGGATAAGTTGAGGAAGGAAGTTTGTTTGGGCAGGATGGCGGGTCCGTTTGACTCGCCTCCATTTCCCAATTTGCGGGTATCCCCGCTGGGGTTAGTTCCTAAGAAAGAGCCTGGATCCTTCCGTCTCATTCACCACTTGTCCTATCCCTCGGGTGGGTCGGTGAATGATGACATTGACAAGGAAGAATCACATGTTCGTTACGCCTCGTTTGATCGGGCGTTAGAGTTGGTCCGGGAGGCAGGGAAGGGAGCTCTGTTGGCGAAGTCGGACATCGAGTCGGCTTTTCGCCTGCTCCCGGTCCACCCGGACTGTTTTCACCTGTTGGGTTGTCGGTTTCAAGGTTCCTTTTTCTTTGATATGTGTTTGCCTATGGGCTGCGCTATATCTTGTTCTTACTTTGAAATGTTTGCATCGTTTTTGGAATGGGTGGTCGCTCGGGTTGCGGGGATAGAGTCCCTAACTCATTACCTTGACGATTTTGTTTGTGGGCCCGCGGGAGTCGGATGACTGCGTGGGGCTCTTGGATTCCTTTCGGGCCGTCGCTGCGGATTTTGGTGTGCCGATAGCAGCTGAGAAGACGGTGGGTCCGGTGGGAGTCCTGTCCTACTTAGGGATTGAAGTGGACACGTGGAGCATGGTTTTCCGCTTGCCGGACGACAAGCTGACTCACCTGCTGCGGCTGGTGGATTCGGCTAAAGGGGCCAAAAAAGTGCAGCTTCGGCAGTTGCAGGCCCTGTTAGGGCATCTGAACTTTGCCTGTCGGGTATTGCCGATGGGCAGGGCTTTTTGCCGTCGTTTGTCCTTGGCAACGGTCGGAGTCAGGCAGCCATTTCACTTCATTCGAATCAATCACCGGCATCGAGAGGATCTGCAAGTTTGGAGTTCGTTTCTGGGTATGTACAACGGGCAATCCTGCTGGCTGTGCCCGGCGGTGTCCAATACGGATTTAGAATTATACACGGACGCGTCTGGGTCTGTGGGTTTCGGTGCCTACTTTCAGGGGCGGTGGTGCGCGGAGGCCTGGCCCCGACACTGGCGAGAGACGGAATTGGTGAGTAACTTGACGTTTCTGGAGCTCTTTCCCATTGTGGTGGCTGTGGAGCTCTGGGGTGTGGAGCTGTCGAATCGGAAGGTAGTGGTGCACACGGATAACATGAGTGTGGTCCATGTGATCAACCGATCTACGTCTGCGTCGCCTCCGGTTTTGACGCTCCTCCGGCGCTTGGTCCTGCTTAGCTTAGCACATCATTTGTGGTTGGTTGCGCGCCATGTGCCTGGGGAGCGGAACGTTATAGCCGACTCTCTCTCTCGGTTTCAGTGGGACAGGTTTCGGGCGGCGGCTCCAGAGGCGGAGCAGGCTGGCACCTCGTGCCCGGAGGATATATGGGACCTGGTTTCCACCATTTGAGCCGGTTGGCGAGAGAGTCGCTGGCGGAGTCGACGTGGAAGTCGTATTCTGCGGTCTGGCGGCAGTGGACAGGTGTCTGCAAGGACAGGGAGGCGTCTACGGACGAAGGTAGGCTGGGAGCGACTCTGGCCTTTTTGGAGTCACTCTGCGAGAAGGGTAAGTCGGTAGCGGCAGCAGAGAGGGCGTTAGCGGCCCTGTCTTTTCTGTTCCAGTGGTGTGGGTGGCAGGATGCGACCAAGTCATTCTGCATTTCGCGGATCATGAAGGGCTGGAAGAAGGGTCGTAGGCGGGACGCTCGGCGTCCCATCTCCTATGAGATCTTGTGCAGACTCCTGGAGCGTCTGCCCCAGATTTGTGTTTCGGGCTACGAGGTTCTCCTGTTTCGGGCCGCGTTTGCTGTCTGCTTTTTTGCGGCTCTTCGGATAGGCGAGCTGGTGGCACCGAGTACGCGGGGGCCAGCTGCCATGCAACTTGCTGATGTCACGGTCTCGACGGGTGACATGGAGTTGATCATTCGTAAATCTAAGACAGATCAGGTAGGTGTGGGCGCATCGGTTCGGATTATGGCTACTGGTGAGCAGTTTTGCCCGGTTAAGTTGCTGCGGGATTTCTTGGCGGTGCGAGGATCGGAGGCAGGATCCCTGTTGCGGCATCGGGATGGGTCAGCGCTCAGCCGGTTTCAGTTCGCCAGGGTTCTCCGGGCAGGGGTGGTTAGTCTTGGGTTGTCCCCGGGTTTGTACACCACGCACTCGTTTCGAATCGGAGCTGCCACGCAGGCTAGTCAGCTGGGCCTTCCCACGGAGGCGGTCAAGCGTTTGGGGCGCTGGCAGTCGGGCCGGTACCAGCTCTACGTGCGCCCCCATTTGCTGTAGGCTAGCATCGTTACGGTGATGGTTGTCTGTTATTTTTATTATAGGTCCTGCTCCTCGATTTGTCTGGATCGTGGGACACTCATTTGTTTATTGGGCTGCTAGGCGTGCGGAGGCTAGACCCTATGGCCGTAACCTCGGTTTATCGTACGAGGTAGCACGGGTACGTTGGAGGGGGATTCGGGGATTGTCCTGGGATGGGTTGTACACCGAGCTGGTTCAGCTCCGGTGCTGTGTGTCAGGGCCGGTGACCTTAGTAATTCACGTGGGCGGGAACGATGTCGGACGGCGACGGTCGGTGGACCTAGTTCGTGCAATGCGGCATGACGTGGCCCGCTGTTTTGCGTTGTTCCGGGACCTGACCCTCGTCTGGTCCGAGATCGTTCCACGCCCGGTGTGGCGGTCCGGGGGTCATGGTAAGGCTTTGGAGCGCTATAGGCGTAAGGTTAACATGACCATGTCTCGGTTTGTACGCCAACTGGGGGGTGTAGTTGTGAGGCACTTTGAGTTGGAAGGGGTTAATGATGATGTCATGAGACGGGATGGTGTTCATTTGTCCCCCATTGGGTTAGATATTTTCAATATGGGATTACAAACAGGAATTGAGGCGGCGCTGTCGGCGGGGGGCGCGATGCCCGCGCAGCGTAGTGCGCGAGGTGGGCATCGCGGTGGCGGGTTTCCCTGGACAGCGCAGAAGAAAAAAGGAGCTTTGGGGAGACGACAGCCTGCACGGAGCTGATGGCGAGGAGCCGGCTGTCGAGGCTCATGGTATAGAAGTTGGGAGAACTGCCTGTTGGGAAACACCCAACAGCTGGCAGAGTTGGACTAAGTTAAAAATTATTATGTTAAATAAAGCTGTGGCCGTTGCCCTTATCCACAAGAAGAAAGTGTCACGTGTATTATTTGGGGGGCAACGGGTTTATTGGTTGGGGGACCGGTTGGGTCAGCAGTCAAGAAAAATTATAATGCAATGACAGTTCTGGAGGAATGAGTTCCAGGTGAGATCCAAGCAGGTAGATGCCTCACTGTGTGGTTCCCACAGGGTAGCAACATCAGGGGAGGGTTGGCAGTTACTTAAAAAGACATGTGTTGATGGTATGAGTATGAAATGTGACATTTTAGAGCCCGAGAAGTGCACAAACAGATAGTAGACTGCAAAAAAAAATCTATGATAAATCAAAGTAATACTTGACTTACCATGTCCAAATCATGTTAAATAATGTGAGAATATGGACAAAGAGAAGGCATCGAGAAAATCTGATTGACGTTAGTCGTGTTGATTGTGTTATGAAGGAAGGAGTAAGACGGACTCTGGCGTTGTCTGTTTCTGGTAAAAAGCCAAGATACACAGTTTTGGGAATAGAATATTAAGCTTTAATCCATGAATTGAGCTGAAGCCAGTAGGTGAAAGCACTGGCAGTGTAGGATGTAACCTATCCTGTTGTCCATACATTGCACAGTTGGTAGAGATAAACTTTGAATGACAGTAATCCATGTTAAAAAATCAAAAACATTTTGATGACGTTTCCAAGATTACCATATATGAATAACGGGCTAATTAGGATTTTTCTGGACATTTGCAGCACAAAAAGTTATGCCATATTATGTATACATGTTTTATATCAATGAAGAATATCTCTTTAAGACTGCGTTGCTCCCTCAGCTCTCGACTTCCCCTTTAAAAAATTATAGCCATGTAATAACAATCCACGCATAACCATGTGGGCTTTATTTTATTAGCTAGAAATAAATGTCTATAGCTTTTATCTCAAGGTTTCCAACAATTTCAGAGAACGTGCAATAAAACACAACGAGTTCTGCACATGTTGCAGTTAATAACAATATGTTATACGATCCGACAGGGTGCTGAGCCTCTTCAGTTCTTGGACTTCAACTTAATATAAACATCATTGGTGGCTCTGCATGATGGGAGTTGAACTGCTCCGGCCGTGATTGATTCAGCTGTCTGAGCATCCTGGGAGTGAGACACTTGTAATGATAATTAACTCTGTGAAAATAAATTATATTGAGAAATAGCTTTGCAGATGTTTGTGGACCCCATCTCCCATTGTATCTCTGTGTATATAAACATATATATCTACCATGTCGACCCTTCCTAAATAGATTCGGTGTCAGACTCTAAAAATCAATAGCTAACTCCACGATATCCACCAAATAACCAATCTGACACAACTTGTATTTCCGAGAGATCTAAATTGTCAGCATGAGTTAGCAAACCTCCACTTTACCCATTACCCAAAGCTTGGGTACTTAGTGTGACATAGGGAGTAACACATTATTTCATATATTTAATTTGATATATTTCACACCTGCACTATTGTAAGAAGTAAAACCATTCAGCAAGTGTTACAAAATTACGATGCTTTGTCAAAGTTTATGTGCCAACAGCTGCTTCAACTTTTTAAAACGTCCTTCATGTAGGGAAATGTTATGATATCTGTTTGAAGAAATTCCGCATCAATAGGAGGATAACATATCGAAATCCTGCACATGTTAAAGAGTAAATCCATTTCTGTACATATATTAGCAAAGATATTTAATACACAAAAACAGGTTGCACCAATGGATGGATATAAAGATAAAACGAGTAAAGAAATATGCAAGGAATAAATAATGAATAAACTTATAAAGTCCAATATCCACAGTCCAATCCCAATCACAACTGCTTTTAATTTATTAAAAAGTATCAGTTCTTGATTAAGGTGCTTGTCAACATATGTAAATAGATACAAAGTGAAATTTAATAGTGCAGACTGTTTAAGCATGAAGATAAAGCTCTCAATAATAATAATAATTGGAATTGCACTCACATTTCGTAGAGCTTAAACTAGCTCTAAGTAAAACTGTGTGTAGCGGTACAATCCAATGATGGATATAAAACTCCGAAAGCCAGTGTCTCAGCGTAC